TCTGCGTCATGCTCCCCTTTCTTGTCGGTTCCTCGTGAAATCTTGCTCTCCTGTTGAAGAATTCACTTCCTGTTTTCTTCCGCGAGAGGTCGAGGTAGAATGATTCGGTAAGATTCGGGAGCGTGGCAAGGGGGAATGCGGGAGGCCGCTTCCGATGGATCTTGGCTTGTGGAAAACCCTGGCCTTCCACTGAGAGCCTTTGTCCTGTATTCGCAATTGATATGATACCCCAACTTTTTAAGTATTTTTCATGAATTTACAAGGTAGTCTGCACATTTTGCTCGGCTAGATCGATCTCATATCTGGAAGAGGATACGGAACAAGCCAACAAGCAGGGTAGTACAACTGGAAAATGAACGAATGGCCTCAACCTTTGCATGATCAAGTAAACGAAATTAGCAGTTAAATTAATACAGACAGATGTAAATGAATTTCAAAAATTGTATCTTGGATCTAATATAACAATAACAAAATCTATTAGAATGAAATAAGCGAGAGTTTTTTTTTTTGGCACGCCTGGATAAAGAAATTTGTATTAACATTTACGCGTTCAGGCCATGGCACACTTTGCACGGCGAATCACAGTCTGCCATGCTATAGCCCATTTCGTGAAAAGTACTTGTTCAATCTTGCCCAGGCCCAATTAAGAAGTACTTGTTTAATCTGGGCTGTTTCTGCCCAGTCCCAATTAAGAGGATGGATGTTGAGTTTTGCGATCCCTACTAAAGCCCATTTCTTGTTCAACCTGAGCTGGGTCTTGCTTCACAAATTACCAAGAGGCCTTTGTCAGCACGAGGACAGCTTATTAAGCAGGTTCTGGTGGGGGAGTAAAGAGGGGAAGCGTCGCACGTACGCAGCTTCTAGTGCGGGATTAAAGAGGGGAAGCGGCGCACGTGCTTGGTTGCTTGGAAAGATATGACTATGCCAAAGTATATGGGTGGCCTGGGCTTTTGAGATATGGAGTTGTTCAATTTGGCTCTTCTCGCTCGCGAGACGAATCTTGCAGGACCCGGGGGCACTTACGCCTTGTTTAGAAGCCATCCAAATTCCTAAGTTTTTTCACTCTCTCTCCATCACATCAATTTTTAGCCGCTTGCATGGAGTATTAAATGTAGGTAAAAAAATAACTAATTACACAGTTTAGTTGAAAATCACGAGATAATCTTTTGAGCCTAGTTGATCCATGATTGAACAATATTTACCAAATAAGACGAAAGTGGTACTATTTATCGGGTTCACTTTTTTTCCAAAGTGAACGAGGCCTTAGTTCTCGGATTCTCAAATCAGTCTACTTCGTGGAGGGTGACTTTTTGGAAGCAACTATTGCGTCCAAACCCCTCACGAACTTGGAGGTCGATCGAGGGAAGAGATAATCTAGTTCAGGGTTTGATCAAGAGAATTCGCACGGGCGAGGACACAGATATCTGGACGTCCAGCTGGCTGCCGAGAGACGGCTTAATGAGGCCGGTCTGCGGCCTCAAAGATGACCCCCATCAGATGGTTAGCGAGCTTATAGATCAGACTCTTCGGTGGGACACGCAGAAGGTGAGCGACTTTTCCATCTCGATGGATGCCGAGATTATTTTGAGTATTCCGCTCTGCACATCGGCACAAAGGGACTTTTGGGCCCGGCATTACGAGAAGTCGGGGCTGTTTTTTTTTGTCTCTTCGCTGGGTCGTATTTGGCTTATAAGTCATAGCTTATTAGTCAACGAATAATATTTTTCTCTCACACCAAACCAGTCAACAGTACTTTCAGTCATGGCTTATAAACCAAATCAGCCCAAACGAACAGGGCACTTAGTCAAGTCAGCTTATAGAATGCTAGTGCACACGAGGGAGAAGAGGACGAACTGGCTAGAACATACGCCAAGCAGGTCAAATACAAGGGAAGAGGAAAAGGAATGGGTGGCGCTGTGGAAGGTGCCATCAAAAGTGAGGGTGTTTCTTTGGCGGTTGGCGCGCCAATCTATACCTACACATGATATCCGTTGTCGTAGAAATATGGCAGAGAATAGTCGCTGCAGTGTCTGCGGCAATGCGGATTCCTGGAGCGTCGGTGCTAGTTCTGGATGGACTAACCAACCAGAAGTGGTTGAGACGATCGCATGCCGGGAAGGCATTGCGCTAGCTTCGGACCTGGTCTTGCAGAAGTTCAGGGTAGCGTGCGACTGTTTCAATGCAGCGAAGAGTATCCATGAAGAGGGGATGGGGCTGTACGGCTCAATTGTTAAGGAGATCAAGGCGACAAAAGCAAACTTCCTCCACGTGGGAGTTTGTCCATCGACCGCTCATTCATTGGTTGGTTTACGGACCTGGTTTGGATCGATTTGGTGGTCTTTGGTTTATTGTAAGAAGTAAACTTATTTGTTGGTTGGTAATTTGGTTTGGGTTATTTGAAACCAACAAACGAACAAGCTGCATGAAAGAAGATTTTCGAATGAGGACTAGTATAGATTAGCTAGAAGTGCTGTTTCTTTGGATCCGGGTAGACACGTTTGGTTCTGTCGCCAGTAATTCGATTACGAGTTAATAAATGGTGACAGTTCTAAAAAAAAAAGAACCTCGAGTCTTGACGAGCCCTGGATGCGCACGGTTTGTCAAAAAAAAAAGAGGAAAAAGTTGGATGCGCACGGTAATCAGACGTCAGTACGTCATGGTGTTGTGCGTGTCGCAAATATTGGCACACATCTGAACTTTGTACGAGCGACAGTGCTTCGGATGGCATAGGACCATTTCTTATGAAGGTCAGCTTGCTCTTTGCCTGTTTCTAACCATCAATCAATGATGTACTGCCGTGATGTTTCGACTATCGGCGAGTAGCACAGAAATGCTGCTCATCAGGACTGGAGTACGGGACTTGCTCACCGTGATGTGCAACTGCCAACCACCAGCAATTAACCATTGTGATTGTGTTCCAGCCTTTTTCTCGCGCTGTCATGTCGCATCAGCATCACATACATTTAAGACCGTTAGCCAAGCTGGTTTGATTCTACCTGTCCTGCCGCGCGGTCCTCCCGGCGTACGCTAACGTTCGGTTCGATCCATGCTGCACTGCACTACTGGTGCCCGTGCGGACACGGAAGCGCAAAATCCTTTTGCATTCGAGGGAGCGAAGCAGGGTGTGATTGCCGGATGATGGTTGCATCATATATTCTGTATAAGGGGACATAGGTTAAGGCTCCGTTCGGTTACAATGTTCCGGGTCGTTTCACCAGGAACGGTTCCGGCCTCGCAGAAATTACCGAAGAAACGATGAGGCCGGGAATCAAACCCCTATAATTGAATGAGGCCTAGGTGATACTGTGATTTAGAATAAAAAAGATATTTCGTAAAATTGTATGAACAGGTGTAAAAGATGCTAATATTTCATTTGGTACGCTCTATGAGTGAATATTGACCCTACTACTCATCCTGCATCGAGCTAGCAGGATAGCCCCACGAGCGATGGTGGAAACGGCTGCATGAGTGGAGCCTGCATGCATGTATATCCTGGGCATCAAACATCCTTCTCTGATATATTTTACATGCACCGCATGCATGCTCGCTGCTAAAAACAGCTAGTTTATGGAATATTTTATATTCAATAAAAATAAAATAAGAGAAGAATAAATAAAGTAGCTCTATAAGGAGAGATAAGTTCACACAATTGCTACGATTTATGTGTCCATGCTTACATTTTCTATATTAACATGTTAAGTTATTCTTATCTTAATTTTTTAAGTCCCCCACTCCCCCTAAGCTGTTGCGAGGCCTTCCGCCCGTGGGGCCTGACCTTTTTTTTAAAGAAAAAGAGTGAAACTATGGACCTCATCGTCACCATCGTCACACGACGTGCCGGACTTGGTCGCTCATTCCTGTTTGTTTGACTTGTAAGCCGTACTTTTTCAGTCAATGAATAATATTTTTTTCTCACAACAAATCAACTAACTGTACTTTCAGCCATGGCTTATCAGCCAAACGAACAGGACAGTGTGAACACGTCTTTCCATCGGCCAGCGAGTCTTTGTTACTGTTACATTGATTAAGCGGGGACGACATAACGCGTGAATGCGTGATGAAGAAAAATATCCGGCGCAGAGAGCCGGGATAACACCGAAGAAGGCGCCTGGATGCGTAACGGAGAAACTCTTATCCGATCCATCGGACACTCAACAGATATGTTCATAGTCATAGCGACATGTAACCAACTGTAATAACTATAAATAAAGTGGCGATTTCTTCATGCATACACTTATGAAGAGAAATGGTCAAAGGCGATGCACGCCGGGAAATGAGAGAGACGGGAGGGATCATACACACAGCACGTACAGATGGACGCTGTTCTTTTTGGCCGACTATAAAGCTACCAAGCCATATTATTTGCTGCCTATGGCTCCATCGTGCCATAAAGCGTGAAAGAAACAGTGTTACTCGACGGAAGTCACTGACTCACGAGCTAACAAAATAAATAATATCTTTGACAAGCGTGCACACTCCACTATCCTCAATAAATAAATGTGGTAACAAAAATGCCAGTCTGTATGAGAACAATATGATGAGTTGATGACTAATTACAAAAATGGGGTGACAGTTAGAATCTTGAATGACGATTTTCCATGATCCACGGCCTATTCGCTTGCTCGTAAACGATCGTAAATTTCCAGCCGGGAACGGTGTTTTTCTCTCACACCAAACCAGCCAGCAGTAAATAATCCACGATACGATACGGCCTCCCGAACATGCTGCCGGTCCGTGACTTCGTCTCACTCTCATGTTAAATCAACGCATCCCAAATGTTGACTGTTACGGAGTAGGGACACAATCGAGAGGTCCCACGGACTGCCAAAAACAATTGAAAATTTTGAATGCCCGCACGGACACGGGATGCCCTGATCCAATTCCAAGATCCACGCATGATGCTTTATATAATTGCCTCGGACTGATTCTTGTATCTGAAACAACAAACGAAGACCAACAATCCTTAGCTCAAGAAGCAGAAGCTGTAACTGCAAGCCACCATGCTCATCCTCGTTTTCCTGCTCTTCTCCAGCGTGGACCTCCGCCAAATAAGCGGAGCAACGACGGACACGCTCACCTTGGGCCAGTCTCTCCCATGGAACGAGACGCTGGTCTCCAAGGGCGGCAACTTCGAGCTCGGCCTCTTCTCCCCGGGCAAGTCCAAGAAGCACTACATCGGCATCTGGTTCAGGAAGGTCTCCAAGCAAACGGTCGTGTGGGTGGCGAACCGTGACCGCCCGATCCTTGAGCCGTCGGCCTCTCGCTTCACGCTGAGCGACCGCGGCGAGCTCCTCCTCCACGCGACGCCATCCAACACCCTGCTGTGGTCGTCCAACGCGTCCTCCCCGTCGCCGCCGCGCACCACCGTCGCCACGCTCCAGGATGACGGCAACCTCGTGGTGCGGAGCAACGCGTCGGCGTCGTCGTCCGTGGCGTGGCAGAGTTTCGACCACCCCACGGACACGTGGCTCCCCGGGGCTAGGCTCGGCTACGACAGGGCCCGCGGCGTGCACAGCTTCCTGACGTCGTGGACCGACTCGGAGAACCCGGCGCCCGCCACCTTCTCCATGGAGATCGACCAGCGCGGGCAGGCCAAGTTTGACCTGCTCGCCGGCGGCACGCACCAGTACTGGACGACCGGCGTGTGGGACGGCGAGGTCTTCGAGAACGTGCCGGAGATGCGGTCGGGCTACTTCGACGGCGTCCCGTACGCACCCAACGCCAGCGTGAACTTCTTCAGCTACAAGAACCGGGTACCGGGCATCGGCAACTTCGTGCTGGAAGTGAACGGGCAGATGCAGCGGCGGCAGTGGAGCCCGGAGGCAGGGAAGTGGATCCTCTTCTGCTCCGAGCCCCACGACGGGTGCGACGTCTACGGCTCCTGCGGGCCCTTCGGTGTGTGCCGCAACACCTCCAGCGCCATGTGCGAGTGTCCCGCGGCCTTTGCGCCGCGGTCGCGGGGAGTGGAAACTGGGGAACACGGCCTCAGGGTGCGTGAGGCGGACCAAACTGGATTGTCCCAACGACGGCTTCCTGAAGCTGCCGTACGCCGTGGAGCTTCCGGGAGGCTCGGCAGAGGCGGCCGGAGCCCGGAGCGACAAGACGTGTGCTCTCTCCTGCCTGCGAGACTGCTCCTGCACTGCCTACGCCTACGACGCAGCGAAGTGCTTGGTGTGGAAGGGCGAGCTCGTCAACCTGAAGACACTCCCTGGCGATCAAGGCATCGCGGGGGCTGTTGTTCTTCACGTCCGTGTCGCAGCCTCGGAGGTGCCACCGCCTGCGGCGCATCATTCTTGGAGGAAGTCAATGGTGATCATTAGCAGCTCAGTGTCTGCCGTGGTCCTACTCCTGGCGGGCCTCATAATCGTTGTCGCGGTGGCGGTGGTTTTGCGGAAGCGGCGAGGGAAGGGCAAGGTAACGGCGGTGCAGGGCTCGCTGCTGCTGTTCGACTACCAGGCCGTGAAAGCGGCGACGCGGGATTTCACGGAGAAGCTCGGGAGCGGCAGCTTCGGCTCGGTGTACAAGGGGACTCTCCCCGACACGACGCCCGTGGCCGTCAAGAGGCTCGACGGCTTGCGGCAGGGCGAGAAGCAGTTCCGCGCCGAGGTCGTCACCCTCGGCATGATCCACCACATCAACCTCGTCCGCCTCCGCGGCTTCTGCTCCGAGGGGAACAAGAAGGCGCTCGTATACGATTACATGCCCAACGGCTCGCTGGACGCGTACCTGTTCAAGAACAGCTCGAGCTCCAAGGTCTTGAGCTGGAGCCAGAGGCTTGGCATCGCAGTTGGCGTGGCCAGGGGGCTGTCTTACTTGCACGAGAAGTGCCGGGAGTGCATCATACACTGCGACATCAAGCCGGAGAACATCCTCCTTGATGAGGAGCTGGGCGCGAAGCTCGCAGACTTCGGCATGGCCAAGCTTGTCGGCCACGACTTCAGCCGCGTTCTGACCACCATGCGGGGAACGATGGGCTATCTGGCGCCAGAGTGGCTCGCGGGCGCGCCGGTCACCGCCAAGGCCGACGTGTACAGCTTCGGCCTGCTCCTGTTCGAGCTCGTCTCGGGCCGCCGGAACAACGGCTCCTCGGAGGCGGGGCCCATCTCCGCTGTGTACTTCCCGGTGCACGCCGCCATCAGGCTGCACGAGGGGGACGTGGTCGGCCTGCTAGACGAGAAGATCGACGGTGATGCCAACGTGAAGGAGCTCGAGAGGGTCTGCAAGGTAGCGTGCTGGTGCATCCAGGATGAAGAAGGCGACCGGCCAACCATGGGGCTCGTCGTGCAGCAGCTGGAAGGTGTTGCTGATGTCGGGCTGCCGCCGATCCCGTCACGGCTTCACATGCTGGCGATGATGAATAACGGTAGCAAATTAGACACAGCAGTGTAACGAGTAGAAGTGTGAAGGTACTAAGTAGATCCGACAGGTAATTGTAGTTTCAGCATGCGAGTCCCATTGTTCATCATGGGTAGTACCAGTCCTATCCTATGGCCTGTTAAGCGTAGCTGCCAAACTGTGTTTCTTCGCAGTCTGTTCCGTGAATTCCTGATCAAACCATCGTTGCGACAATACCCACCGCAAGAGGTTCTGAACAAACTTTCCGCCCGCTGCCAAAACTGCAACCCCATTCATTTACACTCCTACTCGCTCTGTTCTGTACAACAGGCTGGGAAAACCATCTAATAACTACAAAGAATACAGGAAACACAAACCTAGAACCTAACTATCAAACTGTACAGATTAACAGCTACATATACAAACCCCAAAAGAATGAATGAAATCACCGTAGAACTATAATAACCGACATTATCAGGATATACACTTTACAGGTAAAGACGAAGCTGCTGCTGTCGAGTATAGAGCCTTAAGTACAGAAATAAACTTCAGAGATGCTTCTTCAGAGAACCACTTAAGTTTCCATGTATGTACTGTGCCGATTTCATCAGACTGCTTGTTTTGAGGATTTTGGATGCTATCGTGAAACTCTCCTTGCCTACGACTATCCAAAATCAATGTCAAACATTTGTCGTTGCGCTGATCCATGACCTGAAGGTACACATTGCAAACAATATCAGCTTTTTCAATGACCTCGCACAATTTTGGGGCAATAAACAAAACAAGAAGCACAAGCACCCTTAGCCCATGCCATGAATATGACAAGGACTAACATCAGAACTATAAGATTTCAAGATAAACTCATTAAGGTAGTAGGTAACAGCTAGCAGAAAACCATATTATTCCTTGACCTCTATTGTAACAGAATCCACTAATCGTGTTGGATATAAAATCTATGCTTGCCACTATCAGCTCCATGACACCTAACTTTGTCATCTATGTTCTTCCCGAACAAGTTATTTTTTTTTCTGAGAAAATGCAAAAAAAAAATATACAATTGCTTTCATTCAATAGAAGTGACATTGCGCCTATCCCCCAAAACATGATTCGTCTCTATGATGTCCCCAGAAACACCTTTTTTTTTCTTTGTTTTTTCCTTCTAACCATATGGCCGTCCTGATTGCATATTTGCATCTGTTTGACAAGTTTACCATAATTTTCACATATTTTTTGAGAGGATAATTTTCACATATTACATGCAATTATCAATGAGCTTGCTTGAATGACTTCATGCTCACCAGCTTATGAGCTACAATGGACTAAAATATTCTATAGTTTCCCCCCTTCAATTTCGATAGTGATTGGGCAGGTAAGAGCAGCAATACAAGACCCTTGTAATAGTTGATAATTTGAGTAGCAATCTGAGGCGAAAAGTTAAATTCTTTTCAAAACACAGTACATAATGGCGAGAAAGTCAGAAAGCCATCATTCCTAAGTACAAAGTTAATCAAGACAGAACTGGAACCATAAGAGATTGTTCTAGTTTAGCGACTGTCTTAGAAAAGTCATTTCTGCTAAACAGAAGATGGTGTGCATATTAGATATTAAACAACATATATGATTTTAATTGACGGAGTTAAGAAAGGGTATATGAAAATAACAATGTTGCAAATTATCATGTAGTGAGCCAGAAAATTTGGAATTGCAAAAAACAAATTGCTACTTACCACTTCTCGGATATTGCTAATAGAACAAGATGCATCAAGAGAAAAGTATGGGGGATTTGAATCATAAGGGATACCACCAAACTGATCTAGGTCCTCAATGCACACCAATACGGAGCCTTCAATGACAAAGATGGATCTAATACAAAGGGAGTCTTCTGCAGAAGAAAATTGACCAATAATGTTTCAGCAACTTGTAAGAGTAATCAAGAATATAAAGTAGGAAATGATCAATTGGAGTTAAGAGTGAATATTTGGGACATGCGACAGCCAGGAGTTTGCACTGAAAGTTCACATGATTGCACCCATATACAAGTATACAGTAGACATATCTACTTGATTGACTAAATCTACTAAGATTTAACGAACAATTATATACACAAATAATTGCCCTTGGATAGGAGTACAAGGAAAGCAGCTATTCACGTGCCTAAACCATGAGCAAGCTTTAGATCCCCCAATAATATCGTTATTGATGCCTTGTATATATTTCTCTTTCTTTTCCCTTTTTGCTGGTGGATCATATTGGGTTTCAACTCTAGCGTACCCCAACTTTCTTGGGACTAAAAGGATATATTGTTGTTGCTGTAACGAACAATGATTTATTTGAGATGACTTAACATTGGGCCCAAAGTTAATATAAGGCCAAAGAAATAAACTGAAGAAGACCCCGACCAATGTTTGCAGCAAACAAGTAATTCCAATTTAGTTACAATGTAGACTTCAAAGAATGGAAAGGTAATTCTGATGTGTTCCATGAATTCCATGAATAAAATATAGGGACGTTTCATCACCCAGATTGCAAGACAATGGTACCTTCAGCGTCATTCCTCCAGAACATCAACATAGAGTAGAGAAATATTCCCATATTTGCAGTTCTGCGTATAATACATTTCTCGAACGATTTAACTTGGATGTTCTCCCAACTGCCATTTAAATTGCACAATAACCATAATAAAAGACATGGAATATAAGCTTTAAAAAACAAGATAAACATTCTTCATTTGGCTCAAAAAGAAGATTATTAGTCGTGATGATTGTAGAAACTACCAAGACTATACCTTTGAAATTGTATCTTGTGGTTTAATTTGGGGAAGTTGGTTACACTCAAGAGCCAAAGTACATCTTGTGCTTCCTTGGAAGTCCTTGTGAAGAATAGATAAGTTGTATCATCTGACATGTGTACTCTGTCACATTGAAAAATAAAAGTAAGCCCCAGGTAAACTAAGCCACCACTGTTGATGAATAACGATTGATATGCTAACACACCTCAGTGCCTGTAGTCCCAGCCCAATCAAAACTTTTTCTAGACTTTCCAGACTATAGCTGCCCAAAACTCTTGGCATGGTTTCTGTAAATTAATCAATACATTAGAAATTACGGCAATAACAAAGGTCCAAATAGAGATATGGGTAATAAAAGCTTCTATCAAGCAAATGATTGTGTAAATGACCTGTCACAGTTATCAAATAAAAACAAGGAAACTAGAAACATAATTCAGATGGTGAATCTAAACAATATGTAGGAAATTAAGTAGCTATACCTTGTCCATCAAAAACCATATCAAGTAGTAGCACATACAATTTGTTTTGAGAACTTCGTAGCAAGGCTACCTCTCTACAGAAGGGAAAAGAAAAACTGTCAAGTACAGATGGTATAAACTATAATGTGAATCCATACTAACTGCACGTCCAGGAAATTTCAGTTTCTTCAGACTTAAAGTGTCATTTAAGCAATGTGGCTTACAATTAAATACAGCAAACATCTGGTTAGTTTGAAGGTGGCTATTTTGGTTTCAATCGAGATGCTATTGGTAACTGCTTGATGCATTGACGAATGGAAACAGCTGCATGCCTGTTACCATGCAATAGAATTGGTAAAGCACATATGTAAATGGTGCATATATAAAGGGTGGCACCAACTACCCGATACAAGAAGTCCACAACAAGCACATTTCTTCTTTAACTAATCTGCAAATTTGAAGATAAAGAAATGCAATTCACAAAGTGCTGCAGAGGTGTATTCCTTTGGATTAAAACTAGCTCTGGCAGAAAAAAGGGGTGATTACATTCATCCGACATGCTGTACTCAAGCCCTAAACCTTCTTTTTCTCTTCATTTTTTTTTTTCTTCCGAGTATTAAGTCCTTAACCTTTAAACTTACAGAAAGATACTACTCTACATAGTACTCATAGTATTCACAGAAGTTCTACAAAACATTATTCTCAAATCTTGTAGCCCAACAAAATACAATTTTTCATTTAGCTCATTCATATGGTGCATTCCAATTTATTAGACAATGCAAAATCAGTTCATCAATATGGCACATTCCAATTCATATGGTGCGCTCTCTTATAACATTTTCAGGAATGGAGAACACAGAGAAAACAACTCACCTTTGAACTAAACCACTTGAATCCTGAAACATGTATGCACAACAAGCTACTTGTTCACATGTTTCAGACCCATCCTTGTTTGCTATTTCCAAGTTGAAGAAATCCTCAAGAGTCTTGTGTTCGCCTGTGTCATGAGGAATTATATTTGTGCTAATAGATGAATTGTTCTTATGCAGGATATTAGAAGAATGACTTTTAGAGTCTTCCTTGTGAGTACTTTTGCTTGGTTTGCATGTCAACTGGCCATTTCCTTCAACTAAAACATGCTCAGCCACCTGATCGCCATTCATTTTTGGAATTTCTAGTTTGGTACCATTATGATTCTTGAAAGGAAATACCCTCCACTTAAACTTCTCCTTGCCTTTTTGTCCAATTAAATGGCCTAAATAATGACCTAGATGACCATTTCTCTGGTTACTGTCATGGAACTCCTCAATATCAAACTCTCTGTGATCTGAACAACTCGGCTCACCTTCTTCTGAATGGTCAGACAAAGTATTCTCCCCTGAAAAATGCTCTAAGTTATTCTTTGCCTCATGATCATCACCATTTACAAAAGGAAATAAAACCATCTGGCCATTACGAGACAACTCCATCTTTGTCTGAATTTCTTCACAATCATCTTCTGAATTGCATGAACCAAAATCACTCGAAGAACCATCGCTGCAGCTGCTACCACTACCAAGTGAACCAACAGAATGAAGATGTCCTGAAATCTGCAAAAATTCTTCCTCCAGAAAAAGTCTGCGATGTAGAATGTCCTCCTTGTATTGTGGAGGTGACTGTGGACTTGGATATGTATGGGGTGGACTTGATTCTATTAACTTGCTCATTGTATTGGATGGTGTCCCATTTGCCAGCATATTTGTAGAGCCATTTTCCAACTCAGAAAAGGGGTCGGTTTGTGAAGTGGCTACTAACTCTAGGGGAGGAGGTCGTTGAAAAGAATTCAAGTGCATCCTTAGATGACCTTGGTCAAAATTAAGTTCATTTGACGATTGTTTGATGACTCCATTCGAACCAGAAAATGCATTATCCGTGAAAGATGAATCTGATTCCAAAAGGTTTGAGCTACTGCCACCTTCTGATACTTGTACCAAATCCGACATGTTATTTGAAGTCTCCTTGTGTGCTTTCTGCTTTTTCTTTTGTCTGACATACTTCCCATTGCCATTAGTTAAGTCAACAGATAGGTTGTCGCCTTCTGTTTTCTCTGTATTGTCATCCATCCACTCCTTAAATTCACGAAGCCAATTACTTGACTTTTCTTTCTTCAGCAATTCAGCGGTGTTTATCAAGGAAGCAATTCTTATGTCATGATCAACAGCTGCAGTTTCATCCTTCTTAGAACTGTCACTATCACCGTGGGTTGACTGCTGCTCTACACCTTCATCACAGAGATTTCTCTCTTCCTCCACTATGCTCACAAGTCGGGAAATTCTTCTCTACAGTAAATAAAAGAGAACCAATATCATTTAATCGCTAAAGTAGTCGTGCATGCTCAGACTGTGTATGCAAGGTCCAAGGCTAGTTCACTGTATCATTTTTGCAAAGAAGGATGTAAGGCAGATCTTGCACTTCTAAAAATGAAGATCACATCCACCAACATCTGGGATGAACCAACTAGAGACCAAATTCATGAAAGTAAGAAAAGGACCTTCTGCGTTGCATGTGAAAACTAAAAAAGAGTGTGCAAATGGAACAAAACACATGCATAATTGCTATTCACCACAATATCTGTGCCAAATCACCTATACTAAAGGAGAATAGTAACACAAAAAATTTCCAACCAAGGAATCTTGATATATGGTGCTACATGGGTATAATGGAACCACAGATACATACCATCTTCAAATTTAACATGTCTTCATCTTCATTTTCATGATCATCAATTGCAGGAAAATAAAATCCATAACCAGCAGGTTGATTTTGTCTGCATGCAAACAGCACTTGCTTTTCCCAGTATTCTTGTGTGTTCATGCCTTTATCATCTAGCTTCAACTGAACCAGAAAAAGCCAGGGAACAGAGCTGTCACTTTACTCCAGTACTGTGGAACAAACTATAATGATGGGGGAAATTTAAGAAACAAAAAGAGTTAATACTTTGAAGTCAAATACTTACATTCTCTGGATTACGAAAAAAACTGAACACGTGTGCTCGATACCACCGGGCACAGCAGATTGGGTTGCCTTCCAACCAGAGGTTTTGCAACAGAGATAGAGTGCCAAGCATTTCCAATTCTGAGAAATTTGAGATGATATTGTAGGAGAGATCAAGCCCCATGAGTGACTTGAGATTTTCAATCCCATTTACTGTAGTTAAAGCGTTATTTCTCAGAACAAGTTTTACAATTCGACTGGAAACCTGCAAGAAAGCACATGTAACTGTAGATACCACTAAATGAGTGTAAGCATAATAAGCTAATCTGCAGCGCAATGTTCAGGATTATAAAGGAAATGCTTACCTCACTCAAGGATGAAATGGAACGCAAATGATTAAATCCAAGATCCAGATTTCGCAACTTTGTACATTTCTGCAGATTGTCCACCTTTGCAAACTTGTTGCAACTAAGATCCAAGGTTTCAATTGCAGGTAACAATTGCAACGATTCGTCCATGAGTACTACACCATTAGATGCACATGAGACATATGAAAGTTTGCTCCACACAGGTGAGTCCTTGATATCCATGATTCTACTTGCGAAGACATGCCTAAGAGCATCCTGTGGTAGCATGAAAGTCAACTAATGTGAGTTTGGCCAAAATATTCACATAACATGGAAGTGCTTAGAAATGAAGGCTGGATCCAAATAACTACTTGATGAATAGATGATTAATGCTACTACTCTTGCTAGATGAATTGTTTGGTGCTTGCTGAACATTTGACTGTATACATTATAAATACTATAAATATCACAAAACCCGATCAAGTTACAGCCACCAAAGCTGCAACTAAATACTAGAGTTTTCCACATGCATGCTCAATTTCATTCCATATTTCCATCAGCCAATAAAGAACTTTAGAACACCATGTACAATGGCTGATATCTGATACCTGCCCAAGCCACATGGAACAGGGAAAAACAGAAAAGCTAGAGGAAGAGATGCTATGTGCTATCCAGGAAGCATTGCTCCCTTGATAGTTTTTAAGGGGACTGTAAATCTCGAACTCTCAAATTCAGATGAATAGTAAATGCCAGCCAAATTTTCCTTCATAACTTGCAAAAGAGAGTACAAGAAGATGCATGCAACTATACAGATCACAATGTGTTGTATCCATCAAGAGGCCACGTGGATGAACACTTTTTTAATGCCAAAGCTTATTAATTAGGGCTAGGCCATGAAATAAATATATCAAGCGCAGCAGGGATGGTTGCTACAGTTGCATATATGGTATCTGCAGCACAAGCATTGATACAAATAAAGCCCTGCACTGCAGGTACTAAGAACTTGAGATTTGAGAAGCTCTGTAAGACGCTAAAATCTATTTAACTCAGAGAAATTGCTGAGGAACTACGTTCATTTCGAATTGAGTAAAAGTGCTTGATGATGACTTAAAACAGCATTACATTAAATCCCATAAGCATGACCTGAAACTACAATAAACATAAGTACTAGAAGGCATCTTAGCACGAATATCAAATTGATTGACGAAATGGCAGAAACATGCTGAATAAACACTAAACAGGATTCGATCAGATCCTAGGAATACATCAAAAGTGTGACCATAGTATTCCAGAAAACAGTCTAAAAACCATAGTATTGAAGCAAACAGGCTAAAATCCATGGCACTATACTAACTGTACATGAACCAGAACAGCAAACTGCAGGTACAATTTGACAGTTCAAAATAGCTCACGGTAGTTGAGGATCATAAGTACAGCCTGTGGTCACCACCGCGCGAATTGCCGCAAAAACTGAATTCCAAACGAAATTGCACGGCGGAGAGCAGAAACGCACCGTAGAATTGAAACAGACGAACTTCTCGAGGGTGTGTCGGAGGTCGAGAAGGCCCCTGGCGGCCGAGGTGGAGAGGTCGCAGCCCCGCAGCTCGAGCACGCGCAGGCGCGCGAAGGGCAGTAGTGAGAGTGGCGCGGGGTCGCGCCCGGGCCCCGGGGCGACGACCTTGAGCGAGGAGAGGAGGCGCAGGATCCGCCGGAGCTGCTCGAGCGCGCGGTGGTCGCCGAGGTCCGCGACGTAGGCGCGGAGGTAGTCGACGGGCGCGCCGGCGCCCACGGCCTCGAGCTCCCGAAGCGCTTCGAGGCGGGAGGTGACGTAGTGGAGCCCGACGGGGTGGAGGCGGAGGGTGACGGTGCCGTCGAGCAGCGCGCCCGCGTTGCGCGCCACGAAGCGGACGAGCAGGTCGAGGTAGCGGTCGCCGGTGACCGGGGACGCCGGCGACCCCGCGCGGGGCGTGCCCATCGGGATCGGGGCTAGGGTTTGGGGGTGGGAGCGCGCCGGCGCATCCGCGAGCGGCGGGGCGGGCGCGGGAGGGGAGGGGGAGAGGAGGTGGAGGGTGGAGGCGGGGGAGGGAGGATGCAAGCGGACACCGCCGCGGTGGTACGTATGATTGGGGGACACGCGGGCTAGCTGTGGTGTGATACTGTGATGTTGGAGAGGGAACGGAAGGCGACGCGACGCAGATGTGCGAAGCAACCGCGGTTTCGTTCTCCAACGACTTGGCCCCGATCGCTTGCGCCGTACCGTTTAACTGAAATAACGCTATTTTTCTCTCCCAATAAATCCAATAAATCAGTGTCCGGCGTTTTCCCGGCCAACCGAACATGACGTTTGTCAGGGCTTAATTAACGGACGGGGATCGCGCGGGCCACGGGCGCCACGGTGCCGTCTGGCTCTGGTGTGGGTTTGACCGTGTTTTGCAGTTTCCGGCGCTGGCATTGATGTGCCTAGTGCGCGGTTACGGCTCGGCTGTGCGCGCGTTGGCGTTTTTGTTGCGGCCTGCAGCGAGCGAACCGGGAAGACGCACAAATTTCACATAATTTAATTTTATAGGAGAAGCACAAGAATAGAATTTTTTTCCCTAATCCAAACATGCCCTAGTGTGGTGGCTGGCGGCATGGAGAGTTTTCTGGGTCTACATATGCCACGTTCGTTTGGCTGATAAACTATGACTAAAAATACTGTTGACTGATTTACTGTGAAAAAAAAAATTATTCGTTGACTGAAAAAATATTTTTCGTTGATAAAAAAAGTATAGCAAGCGAACAAGCTATAGACCAGACGCGCGAGATCTGGCGTCAGGGGTGGAGCTTGGAGCGCCAGCGCCGTCGTCCGATTCCTAGCCCTGGCCTGGCTAGTCCTGGCCGGTGAAATATTCCTTTTAACAGTCTGTGTCAGAGCCAGTTTAGTTCCCTACAATTTTGCCAAATTTTTCAAGATTCCCCGTCACATCGAATCTTTGGACGCATGTATGAAGTATTAAATATAATTAAAAAATAAAACTAATTACACAGTTTAGACGAAATCCACGAGACGAATCTTTTAAACCTAATTAGATTGTGATTGGACACTAATTACCAAATAACAACGAAAACCGCTACGGTGCATTTTATCAAATTTTTTGGCATCTAAACAAGGCCTCAGTGGCTATGACCATGCGCTGTCAAGATTTGGCGTTTGCTCCCTCCAAGTGCGTGTTCAGCAATCAGAACCGGTGTTTGCACAATACTATATGTTTACGAAATAGGGAATGGCTACTAGAATATCGGCGCAGATGGTGCAGACATCGGCACATCGCAGCCTCACCTAGTCACATTAATGCTAGCCCACATGTCCTCGTCCGGGGAAAAAACTGTTTCATTGGAGTAGAGTACACTGATAGATGCTGGCATGCAGAGCGACACGTTAACATCATAACATGGTCACATGGATGCCTCAGGTCTATGGGTCCTTTTATTTATATTTTGAGACTCATGTCAATCTCAAGTCTCAGAGAAACCAAATGTCAACTTGAATACTTGATCGTTGGAGGTACGCGATAAACTGCTAATCCCGGGTATCCAAGGAAGTAGGGAGATGCCCTTTATTCTTGCTTTTTAAGGTACTCCGTCCATCTATAAAAAACAGATTTATGTAGATCAAATTTTTAAGTTTGACTGGATCTGTAAAACAATATATCAATAATATTTATATTTTTAAATAATTTTATTATAAGAATATATTTAATAATTAATCTAATTATACTTATTATGTATTATTTATCGAGAAATGAGAATGACATTTTTTGTGTAACGGAGAGAATAGACCAGAGTCTGTAGAGCCGCTCCGACTATGATCGCCGCCACCATCAGAGCTGGAGCCGAGACAGGAGCACCAAACAACTCCATTCCGTATATGAAAATAACTCTAGCTTCTCCTTCGTGAAAATGACTCTAGCTTATTCCGCGCCGGAGTACCAAGCAGGCCCTTAAGCAGCAAGAAGGATCTGAAATTTATTGGACCAAATTGTAACTACTCATTAGTGGACCAAAAAGGCAATCGATATGCCCATGGGCTCGGAAGTCGATCGGAGGGAGTCGAGGACTCAAAATGGCGTTCATGGACTGAGCCTTTGGGTCTGACTTATATTTTCGGAATTTTTAATATCAGCCGGATGTTGCCCCAAAAAAAAATCAGCCGGATGTTTTTCTTAACCAGTCGAACGATTATTTTGTTTTCACTCGAAGTTTTGGATGGTCAGGATTTTTATGATGCGTGTAGCCTTTATCATATTGAGATTTTTATGGTTATATGTGGGCCCAACTAGCAAAAATGTTCGTGCGTTACAACGGGTTATTTTTTTCACTCTTAAATTGTTAACACCTTCTTCAGTCCTCACATTCACAGTTCTGTCATCTTTGAATCCGTCGATGACAATATGTATCGACACCCTAAACGACGATATGTATTGATACCTTGAAGCATTTTACAAACACATGGGTTAGTCGTTCATCTTCACCAGAATAGTCGTGCACCGGCCACGGGTGGTTCTCCATTGCACAGGGCGCGTGCGGCCGTTGTGGCCCATAGAGTACAGGGCTCTCGGTGTATGCATAGCTGGTGGGGCTCGGAACCTACGCGGGTTATGTGGCGTTGTGTATAAAGGCGACAAAGGCGCAGCATGGTGCGAAGCTGCAGGGCCGATATAACGGACTCTGAGGAGCGGCTGCGAAGGCGAGTGGGGCACGTTGCTAGTGAAACGCGCGAGGCTAATGAGCTGGGCGCGTGGGTAGGCCTGGGGAAAAATTGAGACAGAAAAAAAATGATAGGAACCGTGGACTGTCTAAAAAACCAGTAAAACACGATGGAGTCGGGTGAAGCGGGGAACAAACCGAGTTAGATAGAAGCGACATAAGAGATTTATTACGATATAGATTCTGGCTCTTTAATAATAAGGGGTGTGTATATATATATATTTATTATTATATTGTTAGTCGTGTTTCTATTTCTATTTTCATGGTTATTACTTAGAACATGGAAAAAGGGAAAAATCATGAGAAATCTAAAAACGAGTTTGTAACAAAGAAATATAGGGACCATCCAAACAGGAAGCGACAAGGGAAAGGGAGAACAAAAAATATATAAAAGAGAGAACGTATGCTCTCTGCTCTATACGAGGCCAGCCAATAAATAGGAAAAAACACATGCTCTTGAATATATTCATTATTTTTTATTTTTATTGTTATTTGTCTTTCTATTTCTATTTTCATTCATATTCATATTTATTTCTTGAACATGGAAAAAGGAAAAAAATCATGAGAAATTTAAACACAAGTTTATAACAAAGAAATAGAGGAACCGACCGGACATGATACGATAAGGGAAAGGGAGAACAAAAAAATATTTAAAAAGAGAGAACGTGTGCTCTGTCCTCTCTATGGGACCAGCCAATAAATAGAAAAAAAGAACATGCTCTTGAAGGGAAAGAAATCGGAACGTACAGAAAGAGGCATCCAGATTGGACTCCGTTACGTACATTGCTAGGAGACCGAGCCGATGTGAGGATGCATTAGTGACTCGGGAGAGAAAAAAAATGAGCGGACGAAAATTTAGTGGAGAGAAATTTTGTCTCTTTAATAAATATATATTAGGTATCGTATAGATGTGTCTTCCTTGTCCATGTCTTCACTTTCAATCCACACTTTCAATCCACGTGAAGACATTTTTATATACTGTGATTGGGGGAATGAGTAGCTAATAACAGGCTATTTTACTTCCAATTGTATTTTTTGGGCAGATTGACAGTTGACTAAAAATTAGGAAAAGGAAAATAGTAAAAGTCGAAAATTGATAACTACTAATTGTGGTCCAACCAATTACATGTGTCCCATCAATTTTATACTCTTCATCGTCTTTCCGGCGACCAAGAACAAAAGGTTAAGGGGGCGTTTGGAACAGGATTTTTGAAAGAAAATCGTAGGTGGTAACAGCTAAAGGTTCAGGCTTTGTGTTACATTGTGGTGTACAGGTTGTTGCCATAGATGGGTTATTGCGGTACTTAGTATAGATGAGATTTAAAATTAAAGGTAAATGCATTCGAGGAGGCGCTAGTTTCAACTGTCTTTCGCCATGGATCACTAGAAGTATATAGTATGATAAAAAATTTAAACAAAAGAGTGCGAGCATGCGACATTTTAACAAGGAGAAACATGACAATTTTTTTCTGAAATTTGTCAAAGCAAATCATAACAACAGCGTAACAGAAAAAGGCTGGGAAACATATACTCTCAATTCACAAATTCTCTCCGCTAAACGCCATGCAAACTAAGATGGAAGATCTGCTTCCAATTCTATACCAAAATTTGTTGTGGGTTGTGACCATATATATATACTTCTAGTCCCTCTCTTGCTCCTGTTGATACATAGTACAAGTATATATAGTGTGATATATAAAAGTACTATAAAAGTTGCAGACGAACTCCCCAGGAAATGGAATTGCAGTGCTGCATCCTGAATGTAACCGGGTTGCTCACGAACAAACGCCATTGGCAACTGGCTGCCCTGGCCTCGTCATCGAGAAGGACGGGTCGAGCCATCCTTCCTTCTTGGCGCTTTCGACGCAGCAGCCGAGCTGCTTCGCGGCGTCAGGCACGTCGAGTGCGAGGTCGTCGACGCAGTCGGCCACCCTGTCGAAGCCCTTGGTCATCTGGTTCGGCGTGATCAGACCGCGGCCGTAGCACTCGCTGAGGAGCTCCCAGAGCCGCTCGTCTTTGCCCCGCTTTTCGATGATCGCCACCAGCACCTTCTTCACCACCTCGTGGTGGAAGAAGGGCATGCCGATATCCATGATGCATCGGCACGCCTCCCGGATGTCGCCGCCGCAGTCGTACTCCTGAAGCAGCTTGCCGATCTTGTCCTTCACCTCGTCCAGCTCCCAGCCTGCCTTGCCGCTGCCGCCGCCGCCCCAGCACCGCAGGATCCGC